TAAATTAATGAGTAACTTTATTAATTTGGGTTTGAAAATATATATTAATGTTACTATTATTTGAAGTTTAAGATTTTATGGGATGAAATTAAAAGTTTAATGATAAAATTGATTCATTAAGGTGTTGGTTGTGATTATTTTATTATTGATTTTCTAATTTTAAAAATTAAGTTCATAAATCACTACTATATTACATATGGTTTTTAGTTTTGTTATTTCCTCTTTTAAAATTTAAGCTAAATTTTAAAAAGAAAAAAAAATTTTAATTTTTGTCTATGAAGTTTAGCTGAAAATGAGACGTAAATAAAAATATATAAAAAATAGTGAGAATGCCATCTTAAATTAAAAAAAAAAAATGAAAACGAAAAAACGTTATCAAATAGGGTTAAATTTCTAAAAATTTGCCGACCTAAATTTAGGTCACGGTAATTGACACTTGTTTCTGACCAAGAGACCATAGGTTCGAATCCCCGTCCCACTTATTGTACTAAAAAATATTTTATAAAAAAATTAACCCAATTAGAAATATTCTATTGACTAACTACGGGTAAGAGAGAAAAACCAAACTAGAAAGCATGTTCATAAGTTATTTACAAAATGTTTTGTTTATGCAAGGATATGCACAACAGTGTATTTCAGATTGCGGCTCGAACTCGGCCTCCGGACCGATCTGAATACTTGGGCGGACCTGCAAAAAAAGGTGAGCACTCCGACGATCAAGTCAGTATAGGTCGGATTCCCAGTTTAATTCGAGGTCAGAAATCATCGTACCTGATCGTGGAGTGAGGTCATCTACTTATGGGTGGTAGTCCCGCTAATCTCGCGACGGTTTTAATCTTTTCGGGGTTGGCCTCGATCCCCCGGTGGTTCACCATGAAGCCAAGGAATTTCCCCGAAGAGACTCCAAAGGCACATTTAGCTGGGTTGAACTTCATTTGATATGTCATTAGAACCTCGAAGGCTTCGGTCAGATCGGAAAGATGCGACTTAGACCGCTTGCTCTTGACGAGCATGTCGTCCACATACACTTCCATATTCCGGCCGATCTGCTTGGCGAACATTTTGTTCACCATTCTCTGGTAGGTCGCTCCTGCGTTCTTTAAACCGAAGGTCATGACCTTGTAACAGTACAGACCTTGGTCTGTTATGAATGCGGTATGATCTTGATCTGGGACATGCATCTTGATTTGGTTGTACCCATGGTAGGCGTCCATGAAGGTGAGCAGTTC